TTGGGACCAGTTGCTGACTTGTAAGGCTGAATTTATCCAGAAGTAAGCTGTATTTTCGTTTTTGTGCCGAAAGCCACGCGATGAAATATTGAGAATATTGGCTGCGGCCGCACTGAGAGAGTTAACTAGGTTTATTTTTTAGAAACCTGGTTAAAAATTCTAAACAACTTAACTCGGTTAAAGGTTGGTTATAATTAAATAACGGGGTTATATTTTATGAGCGGCCACACTGAAATGGGTTAAGAAGTGTGTTAAACTCAATTGACGTCATGAGATAAACCAACAAAATGGCAGAGTTGGAGGACCCTGTTCAGTCTGTTGTTATATTCTCGATTCATTTTCTTTGTTTTTGTTTCCTTTCTCTCCACTCACGGCCAAGGCAGTCCCTCTTCCTTCTAATGCGCACTACGCAAATTTCTAAGGCAGGTCTTTCAAACATGATGTTAATTTCGCGTAAACGTCAGAGTGTTCTCCATCGCCGTCGAATCGTCCTCGAGTCTGGGTATATCCGAGAGACCAGCGATGGTTTGAGGAAATCCATAGGAATNACGATTTTACGTTAAAACTTGGTGACCAAACTTTCGTCCCGCCTTACTCAACTGATAATCGTAGTAATTTCGCGTAGACGTCAGAGTGTTCTCTATCGCCGTCGAATCGTCCTCGAGTCTGGGTATATCCGAGAGACCAGCGATGGTTTGGGGAAATCCATAGGAATCCTGCCATGCATGACTTTTTTAGAGAGCACTTTCGAATGAGCTTCGACTCTTTTCACGCCCTTTGTCGTATTCCGTCGCCATTTATGGCAAAAAAAAAAAAAAAACACTCGCTTCCGTGCAGCGCTTATCAGACTGCTGATGAGAGACCACTAACCTGGGTTAAAGTACGGAAAAAGGTGGTTTAAAATTAACCTAACCCGGTTAAAAAAATCTGTTGTTCATCAATTAATTTCCATGGTAACTGTAAACCCGGTTTAAGTTCCATGCACAGCCGAAATTAGCGGTCGCATCACGATTTTTCAGTAACCCGGTTAACCATAATTAATTAATTAGGAATAACCCGGTTAACTCTCTAGTGCGGCCGCGGCAATTATCTACTTAAATCGCTGAAACAATTTAACACAAACTGTGTTTGTGATTTGGAACAAAACTGTTAAACCTTAGATTGCACAAGCATTCACATGGTTGCCTATACTTATTTCATTTTGTTTTTTTGCTTGCTATAACGTATGAATGTGAGAGCAACAAATTAGTTACCCAGCTAGTGGAATTTGAAAATTCTCAAAATTCATTAACAGAAGTTAAAAAGCATATAAAAAATGTTCAAAAACGAAAGTTACAAACGTGCATGCATTAATTAGCGCTGTATTACAAATGAAAAATTTATGAAAAATTGGTCTCTTCACAGCCAATCACAATATGAATTAATTTTCTCATATAAAAGATTTATTTATTTCATGCGTTGCCTTTCGGTCTTGTCCTTTTTACAACTGAACATCCTCGTATACTTTGTGAGTCTTTCTGATCTTGCATCTCGAAAAATCTGACGTGCTGTATTAGAGATGAAGAATTAATAATTTAACTGAATCAGTATTCTTGAAAAAATAGCTAACGAGTATACGTGCAATGCTATTACAATGATATGCCAGAAGATAACCTACTTAAAGTGTATATGACACGAAAATAATTTCTGCTTATTTGAAAGGCCTTTCAAAATACAGAAGAATGGTGTTTTTCGTTTTGAAATATCTTTTTTCGTTTTAGAGATATTGACGTTTTTTCAATTATGCAAATTGGATCAGTGATGACGTCATATTGTTTGCAACTAAAAAGTGGAAAGTACTGAATAAATGTATCTCTGGAAATATTGAAGCAGAGTTCTTGAAACTAGGCACCACAAATGTGCATCAGAAAAGGAACAACATGACACCCTTGTGCCGTTGCCATGACAACAGTTTTGCCGCTGGTGCTGTCTCTATAAAAACTGAAATTCCCAGTTTTTGTCTTAAACCAAGAACCATCTACCCTACCCAGTCTAATGATGGGAGTAAGACAGTATGGGAACTATGTCTGTTCCAAGTAGGACTTTTTGTCTCACTTCAGAGGTTGCAAATGGGGATTTTTGGTTTTTTGACAGAAAGAGACTGGAACCGAAAGAGTTGCTATGGCAACTGCATTAAGGGTGTCATTTCGTTCCTTTTGTGATGCATATTTGTGGTGCCAAGTTTCAAGAACACTGCTTCAATATTTCCAGAGATATCGTTTATTCAGTATTTTCCACTTTTAAGTCGCAAACAATATCATCACTGATCTAATTTGCATAATAGAAAAACGTCAATATCTCTAAAACGAAAAACAATATTTCAAACAGGAAAACGCCATTCTTCTGTATTTTGAAAGGCCTTTCAAATAAGCGGAAATTATTTTCCGTGTCATATACACTTTAAGTAATTGTTCAAAAGTCCAAATTAGAGCTTGTAATGAGTACTGAACATTCCGCTCTTGGGATTAAAACGGCTCATAAAATGATTTATTTTCACAGGCAACCAGTCCTTGCATGATATTGAAATAACCCTCATATAGACATGATGCGGATAATCGTGAGAAAAGACCTAAGGAATAAGAAAACAATTTAAAGATATCAAAATACATTTCTAGGGGAGAGGTAGCATTGTATAAGTTGTCCTGATAGGCCATGAGCAGCGACCCAGACAAAAATAGTCTAAAAGAGGTACCAAATATGCATGAATGCACTGTATGATGTAAAATGGACCATCTTAAGAATTACTGATACATGATTTTCAATCGCAAAATGGTCGGTCGGGCATCTTTGTTACGTCATCAGCATGGAGAGTACAAGCGAATAAATGAAAGATCATAGAACTGCGGAGAAAGATATCAAGACATGATTGGTCATCGCAGTTATACACACAACTTAAGTAGTTATGAAATTAAAGCCAAAAAACAAAAAATTCAGGCTTGAACGAGGCGCAGGCGAGTGGTTCCGCAGTGAACTTTGACAATGTTATGACGAAATTTATCATCAATAAGAGGACAGATGCATAAAAAAACTGGCGTCAATTTGTTCTTTACGATAACAAGACCTTAAAATGGTCAAATACCGGAAAAAAATGAGGGAAACTGAAAGACACCGTAAACTTGCCGTAAACAAACATAAATAAATTTTATTCAAAATGACGCGAACATTGTCAATAGCTTTTCTCGCTTTTTTATTCGCTACTCAAAAAAATCCATAAAATCTCATTGGTTAAAAAGTTGACAGTTTGACAGCTGAAAGTTGAACTTGAAAGCTTGCATAAATTAAAATTTTACCCGTCCGTACTCTTATTGATGATAAAAATGAGCCAATCAGCGCGCGAGAAATTAGACAGATTGAAAGACGAGATCTAGCCAAGCCTAAAAGCGGAGCTCCTAATTGGAATAATTAACCATAAAGGAAAAACAGAGGATTTGTTTTTCTTGGAACGGAAACTCAATTGTGACCATGTATTTTAGTTTCACTATTTTTCCAGTTAAATCTTAACGAACTATACCCAGTAAGTGTACCTAAGATTGTGGAAACAAGAGACGATTGTGCAGGGAAAATGTCGGAAGAAAAGTCAACAATGCGCCAGGGGTTCAAAATTTGCGCCGAAATTTTGCCTTTGCACGTTTGCACGAACTACCTTCTTCTCTCCCAGATCTCCCCCGGTTCGCAGTTTTTCTTTTGCGTCTGAAGTCACCCGATCTCTGCACGGAAGCAAAGTGTTGCGAGTTAATACCTGAAGCTCATGACCTGAAGCGTTTTAGCGAGATTCCGCGATTACAGTTGGGAGCTGGGGAAGGATTTTGTAAAGATTTGTCGTGACTGTTGTAAAAGTATTCGAAAACAAATTCGGCTAAGTTGTAAAAAAATCTTTTAACTCCGTTTTATGTTTGTTTGGTTTCGTGGGATCACCGAATTCGAAATTTAGAGATTCGAGCGAACGATTCGGATTGCGTACCAAAATGTATGGGCAAAGAGTTGCCTCCTTTGTCAATATTATTTGCAAACCACAAACATTTGCACTGTGTGGAAAGGCCTAGGTACGAGTTTAGCGCTGCAGTGTTACGCAGGACTTGCAGGTAGCCAGGGCTCAAAGTTTAGTTTTAGCTTTGGGAGCACTTGTACGACCAGGTGTAAATTTTTAACGCAGTGCACGGCTAATTACACTGCAGTTGACTCTGTTGCTAGATAAATACAGGCTATAAAATCATAGTTTAAGAAACATTCAGTTAAGTTCGTAATAAAATCACAAATAATTCATCAAATTATTCAATCCTACAGTCAGGCTGTTCCACCCGCATTTACTGCGCTTGCCATTAGAGAGTTGCTCTTTTTCAGTGACTTCTTCAATTAAAGAGCCGGCACTACTGACATTCGGGCGGGTCGTTACTTTCGGGGTTCAATAGGAAGGTAATGCCACGTCAATGCCACGTTACTTTTGGGGAGCCGTTATTTTCGAAATTCTACAGTATATAATTTATGCTATTAAAAAGTATACGACATTACCGATAGAGGCCGGTCTTTTCCAAAACTAAATGCAATACCGATTAACTTACGTGGGTTTTAGCCTCTTCTATTCTAGTAGTAAACATGAGAATTCTAGGTTCAATTTACTTTGTTCAGAAGTAACTACAACATTAATTGATTATTTTATTACAGTTTTCTACTTTTTGGGTGCGTTTTAAAACAAGTATTCCACTCGCGCTTGTTGGATATGAGATGATTAAAGACAACTCATATCCAACGCGCTCGTGGAATGAAGATATGGTTGACCAGCTCCCAGTTGGCTTTATAGCTCAGTTGGTCGAGCATTGCACCGGTATCGCACAGGTCATGGGTTCGAATCCCGTGGTTCCACAGCCACTTCGACAAGGTTATGACGCAATTTATCATCAATAAGAGCACAGACGCATATAAAACTGACGTCAATTTTATTTCTCGGTTGGAGAATCAGTTAGCTGTGGTGGCTGTTGTGGCTGTTGTTGTGGCGGGTTCATTTCTTTATGTCCTGGTTTGCTCCGTCTCCTTTCGGAATTTTCGTCAGGATTGAGCCTGAGGTAAGCTAAGTTATATCTGAAGAAGTCATGACTCTAGATAGGTCTGATACAGATTGTAAGAACGTAAGCTACCCTTCGACTTCAAATTAATAGCGTGTTGGCCAGTCATAGTCAGCTCATGGTCGTGTTTAAGTGTAAACTGTTTAGAAACCATTGAACCTTTTAAGACGTCCCTATATAACGATATTTCATGGTCGATGGAGATCAATATAAGTGAATTTGATGTATTGGCGATTTAATACTAAACGTATCTAAACACAAACTACGTATTAGCTTCCTGAGCGTTCCTGTACATGCCGACCCATTTGTAACAGACGCAAAAGTTGCTTAATGAGCTTTTAGTATAGTTTTTTGTGATAGAGATAAGAGAATTCTCAGGGTGCTATTAAAACCATACGTTTAGGTTTGTGAAATTCACTTGGGCTCTGGTACATTTACAAATTATAATTATAGTCTCACTCTGACAGGATAGGTTGTTGAGATTGAAGCTTTTACAGTTGTTTTGTTCTCAAATCATTTGCCCTTTGAGTTGACTTACAAGCTTTAGATAATCAGCTGGTGTTTACTGGAATATTTGGCACGGCTTTTTTGTTGGATTTTAAACTTTAAAAACCCTCAGAAGCATAAATTTGGACTTTTTATACTAGTTAGGCAGGCCATTTCATCATTACTTATGGCAGTAAAGTAAAAGTAAGTAAGTAACTTTATTTAAGTCTTGGGCTAAAATAGCAGTAACAAAACCACTAAATGTGGACACTTTAACATAAAGGATTAAAATGACAAGATCTATTAAACAATTAGATTATGAGCTTGAGATTTCTATCGCGTGATAGTTGACTCGGGCTGCGAATAATCTAATTGTTTTTGTATAATTCTACTAGTCGTTCAAAACTTTATCTAATTACTCTTCACAGACACCTTGAAAATGCAAAGAAGCGGCTGTCATTTTGTTAACAAGTGCACACTGCTACGCTAGCTACTCACTATCTATCACAGAATAGTTGATAGTAGTGTAGCCAATTAGACAATGGCATTCGTGATAGAATGCTGGTAGATTTATACTAAAAGCTATTATAAAAACAAGATAAAACTGCATAAAATATATATAAGATGAAATACATGAAAAGAGCATGTGAAGTGCAATTACTACCACAACTATCAGTCAAAATATCCAAGTCAAGTTTAGTTTGCAAATGTTTTTCTGCCAGTGCTTTTTCTGTTGGTGTATGTACTAACCATCATCAAATCATATCAATAACAGAAATATTATTATTTTGTGATTGTTTCACCTCAGGTGACCACTCAGTTCCAAAATCATGTAATTAGGGTGAGTGATTTGAGATTATGAGCATGACAACTCTAAATGGATCATGTGTACTTAAGGCATCTGTCGCTTGAGTATCAGCCGATACTGTTGGCCGATATATTGACAGACAGTCGGGCGAGATATCGGCCAATACGTGGTCGACATTTCGACTGAGAGTGGGCTGATTGTCGGTCGACATGTTATTCAAGTTAATAGACCGTTGGTCGACACTATCAGTTGGTATGTCGGTCGACACTCGGCTGAAACCTCGACTGATGTGTTGCGATCAACAGTTGGTGGTGTATCGGTGGACTGTTGGTGGTATTGGTGTATTGCTAACTGTTGTTTTGCTGAAATAGCAGCCATCTCCTTACCCACAGGAGACGCGAAAGAAGAGTCTCTATCGTCTATGCTCATGTGTTGATGGAGTGAGGATGCAGCTCAAACTGCCGTCATTTTGAATACATTTCTAATGCAACTTGAGGTCTCGACAATCATAGCTGGAAAAAACAGTCATTGAGATAGAAGAACGTTGCCGGTATGAAGAGTCAAAAACGGCTGAGGGCCTCCGAAAGACCCTCTCAAAAGACTAGAGAAGATTATTTAATATTTGAGTAGAGAAGATAGAAGTCGACCAGCAACGAGAGCTGACCAAATGAGCGTGTAGTGTTGACTGAGTGTCAGTGAAGTATTGGCCAACTGTTGGCCGAGTGTCGGGAAAGTATCAGTCGAGTGTCAGCCAACATGCGTGTCCGTTGATGTTGGTCGATATGTTGGCCGAGTGTCGGTCGACATATTGGCGAATAGTATCGACCGATACTCGGCCGACAGATGCCTTAAGTACACATGATCCCTCTAAATTGCTTGTAGCAAGTCCATGTATATGGATACCTTCCTACGGTTGGAGCTATGAATGTCTACAATATCTGACCAGTCGCTGAGTTGAAATGTAGGACATTATTAGTGACATACATAATTTTGGGATATCTTGGTGAGTAGGCAATGTTTACTCACTTTTGGATCTTTCTTTCTTGATCATTACAACCAGGCACAGCTTTCACCAAGTGTGTCAAAATATTGTTCTCAAAGAATCTTGCAGGTCTTCTTGTGGTTTCTGAAAGCTTTTGATCAGAAATACAATTATTGTTATGTACCTTGAAATCATCTATTGAGCAAATATTGTGTATCTTTTGAAAATCAATGTTTTTTTCATTTTTTCATACTACCCGGAATCTTGATGTGATGTTTGTTTTGTTACAAATACTAATGTTTCAATTGCAGATGGAAATTGAAATGTTCACCCAAAGTCAGGATTCCTTGACAAGATTCTAAAACACTCTTTTTGCAAAAAGCCATCTGAACCAGGTCAATATGATCATTTGCATAATTTCTTCATGAATATGGAAATAGACCAATTTTTATGTATTAAAATTCAGCCTAAAACAATAGACCTCAGCATGAGGCTCTGGGGAATAAACCTGACCAACTCTGTAGTTATACCCCAGAGCCTCGTACTGAGGTCTTTTGTTTTAGGCTGAGTTTTTATGTATCTAAACTGGTCAATTCTGGATTCTTTATTAAAATACTGGCAGATCAGAGGTGTTTGCTTCAATAATAATAATAAGAAAGGTCCAAAGTTCCCCATTATCCTGCTCACAGTGATGGAGGACATTTAATGTCAAGCACGCAAAAAAGCAATACTTTGCAATAAAACTAAAGCTTCCTAAGTTGCAACTCTATTTGCACCATAATAATTGTTGAGGTTATTCACATATCCAGTAACCACATGTCCTCCAAGAGGACTTTTGTTTAATTAAGTGATAACTTTTAAAAGTGATTAATTACTACCCCAGCCTATTGCACAGTCATATTTGTAGCCAGCTTAACAGAATATTACTAGGCTAGGATTAAGGAAGGGTTCAGGAACATTTTTTAGTCCTGCATAGTACAATTTTTTGTCTTCTTATTTTAAATAAATGGTTTTGCCTTTTATAGATTTTTCTCTTGTGGAAAATGACAAACTAAAGCTACCTTTGAAGGATATGGGTGGTAAGTAATAAACTCACTGATGAATTATGTTTAATATAACTGCCTTAAAGTGATCTTAAGAGAATTGATTCTTAAGTCTGTTCGCAATGACAATGGGTATAAGTCAGAGTGACATACAGGCACATAATTCAGCCCTGTAAAAATGGGCTGATTGAGTATAGTCAAGATTACTTACATCTTTTCTTTTCACACTTAATTGCCTTGCATGAACATTTCTCCCCCCTGCAGGCCTACAACGTAGCACCAATTTACCAAGCAGAATTGCTGGCTTAAGCTATACTCCACAAAACATGTGATATTATATACCCGACTGACTGATACTCATGTGTATTAACTGTTTTGATTCAGTTGAATTTGAACAATGAGTCATACTTCCTTTTAATGTATAGGAGCCAATACTGGGGACAATCCCAAAATATTTTTCAAATCCAAAAAAAAATAGGTTAAATCACATTTTTGTTTGCATATCTTTCTTAAAGAGTCAGTAAAATAAAAAAAACTGCAGTTCCAAATCTGCTAATAAAACTATTGGATCCACAAATATATTTTTTTACAAATCCAAAACTAGTTTGCAAATCCAAGAATTGTCGTTAAATTCAGAAAAATATTTTTGAAATCGGAAAAACATTGTTCACTTTCTGGAAGTCTGAATACCGTGGGATTTTTATCAAGCCGAGAACTTTGAAGAGAAGGCTACTAAATGATGGTAGGAGTATAGACTGAAATATCAGTCATCTCCTACATCTCGACATATTAGTAATTTGCATTTCGGCTGACTGACAAGTGCATTCTTCTTTCAGCACGACGGTCTCTGTCAGTAGCTACATGTATGGTTCTAACTGAATCTTAATCATTTGTTTCACTTTCCTTATATATTTATAAATGCTTGATCCACTCTAAGTTTGCAATTTGGATCTATTTCATTCCTCAATAACGAAGCGCAAAGAACAAAACATTCTGTATTCGGAATGGCCATTGGCACAGCTGGATTACAGACAACTTAAGCAGTTGTGAAATTAAGCCTAAAAATATTCGGGCTTGAATAGGATGGGATTTGAACTCGTGACCTCTGCGATACCAGTGCAGTCCTTGCTTTAACGCATGTACTGAATGTGGGAAAGACCCTCCCATCGAGCAGATTGAGAGAAATTGAATCAATTCCAAAGTTCTAGCTACTCTTGATAAGGAAAACTTTAAGGTGGCTCTGAACCTTATGTACAGATTCTTTTAAAACTTACCCAAAAGTTGCGTCCTATCATGCTTATTAAAATTTGACGATATAAAAAGGATTTCACCTTGCCGTTTTTTAATTATAAACCCATAAAGCTGTAATTGAGCAGTGTTTCAGCCAGACGATTTTACTTGAGGGCCAAAGTAGCCCCTGAAAACCTCTTTTAGAGGCCAATAAGAGGCCTTTCTTTTAGGAAAGGGGCCAATAAATTGAAAGCTACGAAAGGAAAAATGCATCAGTGTACCAAGGAAAATAAAGTGGTTATTAGGATCTATGATAAAATTAATTTAATAGTAAGTACTTTTTGAAGTGTTTCTACTCAATGAAGTTTCTTTTGAATCAGATACTAGTATGAAGGATGGTCTGTGGGTCATTTGCCAATTCAATTTTTGTTGAAAATTAAAAATTGAAAATTGATGTCAATTTTTGATTTTCATGATTTTTTATGATAAAATAAGAAAGTGCCAAATCGCAAATATTTTACATTTTTCCTTTCGGTAAAACACTGGAACAGAACTTATATTTTTACTTAAATCCTGTCAACAATGAAGAGAAAAATGAAACTGAGCAGCTCTTTGGTTTCTCCGACAATGTTGCAGTCTGTGGCATGACTTAGTTTTTCTGTTTTTGACAGAAGTCTAAAAATTGAAAATTGTGATCAGTTTTCAATTTTTGTTTTTCGACCAAAACATTCCAAATCATTGACAAAACTGTCCCAGAGGGAGGGGGAGGTGTCTATTCACATGGTAATTTTTGTTGCCCCCAGGCCCCCTCCCCACAGCCCAGCTTCCTTCCCTGCTTAAGTAAGTCACGCTCTCTTCGACTGTCACTTTGTGGTCTTTCACGATATTTGGAAACGTTTTGTGAATTTTGTGTCTTGTAGTTGCTAAGTTGTGTCCATTATGGCGAGCAGCAAGACTTTCGACATAAGCCAAGAAGGAAAAAAGTCTTAGTTTTCATAACTGGAGCAGCTGATGTAACCATATCGAGACTTTCTCAGGCTTTTTCGGCACCATATTGTAATATTAGATTAGGTTGGATTGGATTGGATTCGTACATGAAACACATGGATTTGCAAAACACGTATTAGAGAACAAAATTCAGGGAAGAATGAAAACTCTACAATATCCTTGAAATAAAATTTGTTGAGCTGAGCTAAATTCCACCCAATTTCATTGGTTATAAACCATCAGATATACGAGTAGATAACACATAATTCAGGTCCAGGATAAAACCATCGGGAAAAATAATAAATATGATGTACAATACTAAATCCGACATTTTCTGGGTCAACCCATTGACACCTTCTGTAAAATTTGTGTTTCAGTGATTGTGCTAGCATTCGTGTAGCTGTATGACTACACGCAAGGTTAACATTCAGCTAATAGTCTGTGATTATTGAAATACATGTAGTTGATATGAAAATGAAAGTGTACTTTATCCATGGAGTCCGAACACAGTACAGAAGGAAGCCTGCCCTGGCCTAGCCCTTGGCTCTAAACTGGAAGGGCATCCTCGTTCCCAGGGTCTCTCATCTTACCCCCCCCNGAGACCCTGGTTGGGTCTGGTCACTTGTCTCCCAGAATCTGGGAGATGACAATTAAATTATTGAAGGGATGGGCAGCCTAGTAGGAATTTCGTCTATACTTAGTCTATGGGAGTGCGAGAAAAGTGATGTATTAACTGGTATCAAGAGAAAGGACATCTCAATCTCTTTTTAGAGTCTCTCTTTAGAGAGAAACCAACCAGTCAAACATCAAAAGTCGAAACATGAGTACTCCATCACGAAGGCATAAGGCAACAGACAAAATCTCTGAAACCCAGTGATATCTCTGTGGCCTAATTAACACTGCTCAGAATTCCATTTCCCTTCTCAAAGTGTTGCTTGGATTAGGTATAGTTTCACTCATTTCTCGACTTCTTGAAAACAACACGTGTACTGCACATCCATTAATTTGAAATCTGCCCAATAAACAGACCCAAACTTCCTGCTCCCAAGCTTGTCTTTAATATGTACCAAGTCCCAGGTAAATTCTTAAAACTTTAAGCGCGTCTTCGCTTTTACGAGCCCAATCCCTCCTTTAACAAATCCAGTCCAGTCCAATCAATGTTTTACAATATGGTGCCGTGCCTGAAAAAGCTGTAGGAGGAAGTCTCGATATGGTTACATCAGCCACTCAAGTTATGAAAACTAAGCGACAGTCAAAGAGAGCGCGACTTAAGCAGGGAAGGAAGTAGGGCTGTGGGAGGGGGTTGGGGGTAAAAAAATTACCTTCCGAATAACCCAATGCAAAAATGTGAGAGGACTGGGACGGGTTTCTTATATTGATTAGATTGAAAATCTAAACATTTCATCTGAAATGTTACTGAATGAAAAGCTGCCCAGTCAAGTTTGAGAGTTTTCAGCAGAAAGTTGTCCAAATGGGAGCCTTGCAAAAGTTGCAAAATTCCATGCAAACCCTTAAAATTTTGTGGCCTGTCTACCCAATCCATACAAACTCTCTATTTAAGGTGATATTTTAAGAGCTATCATTTTGCCATTTTCCTCCTCTAAATACTTCTATTCTTGCCTAAGACTCTCAAATTTAGTTGATCTTTCATTTGAATACATGTATCTTAGTTTTTCAAACAAACGGAAAACAACCATACTCTTTCCCAGTCCTCTCACATTTTTGGAATGGGCAATGGACCCCTCCCCTTCCCTCTGGGGTTGTTCTGTCAACGATTTGAAAGGTTTTGGCCGAAAACAAAAATTGAAAATTGATTGCAATTTTCATTTTCAACTTTTAGACTTCTGTTGAAAACAGAAAAACTAAGCCATGCCACAGCTGACGGCAACATTGTCAGAGAAACAAAATACCTGCTCAGTTTCATTTTTCTCTTCATTATTGATAGGATTAAAATAAAAATATAAGTTCTGTTTCAATGTTCTACTGAAAGAAAAAATATAAAATATTTTCGATCTGGCACTTTCCTATTTTTAATGATAAAAAATCATGAAAATCAAAAATTGACAGCAATTTTCAATTTCTGAATTTAAACAAAAATTGAATGGATGAATGACCCATGGACCAAGGATCTGTGCATTACAAGAGAACAATCTATAGGCATACATGACAATGCAGTCAATGATCAAGGGTTTGCAATGCATTATAGGGCGATTTCAAACACGGTCAGCCATTTGGAAATTTTCCAATGTGAGAGAATCAATACAGCAAAGCAAAAGTATAGATTGACTTCTTTTCTTATGTTGAAAGTTTTAGAAGCAAAGATCTTTCAATATGATTTTCTAGAACGACATGATGTGTGAGAAATAACCATTATTGATCGTCAACACAAAGAAATCCAAATTTTTGGTCACCAAGGATGAAATTTTAGTAATTGCTTTGGCGACTGTATCAGCCGCAATATCAAGCAGGGGATGGCTTTTAAAATATTATGCCAGTGTTAAGCCTGCAGTCTTGTGAAAGAAAAGGGCCAAATCGGCCCTTTTCTTGTTTTTCTGGGGGCCATCTCTGATTTCAACGCAGGATTCCCGCAATGGCACAGTCTGGCGGAAACACTGATTAAGGGTGGTTTTAGCAGGTCATACTGTTGCTATAATGGTAACCTATTGTGTCATGAAAATGATAAATGAATGTGTTCATCGATGAGTGGACAGTTTTTTGATACCATGATTGTAGCATCACTTGATACAGAGTGGTAATAATGACCCATCAAAATCTTACTGCTGGAAACTGTTTTCAGTCACCTAAATTTTTTTAAACATGCTCCTTTTGTAAGGCAAAGTTATGAATTACAGTACATGTACTTTGAATCTGATAAGTGCACCAGATAAGAGCATAATCCAGTGGCTCTTTCTTGTTGTAGAAGTATGAAAACAGAGAAAACTAATTAAATAATAAAATGCATACCGTATGCATATACAGTAAGGCTGTATATGCATACAAAAGGCCATATGTGTCAACAGGCGAGGGTGTCCCTAACTTGAAGGGAATAAAATATTTTGACCTACTGTTTTTGCCATAGTTATTCACTCACCAAGCCCAACATTTAAGCCAAGTTTGAGCAAAATTTGTTTATGATTTGAGCTGTATCACCTCCTTCCTGGTTATCTGATAGACACTCTTTAAATTCTGGCTCGAAACTGGTGATGGATAACTGTTAAGTCTTAAAGTGCCTATGAAGTAAAAAATAATTCCTGCTTATTTGAAAGGCTTTTCAAGGTAAAGAAGAATGGCGTTTTCCTTTTTGGATATCTTTTTTCGTTTTAGAGATATTCACGTTTTTGTATCATGCAAATCAGGAAAGTGATGAGGTCATAGGTGGTTCCTCTAAAACAGCACAACACTCAATACATACATACGTACATACTTTATTTGCAACTCCCCAAAGGGGCTTTTCAGTTACAAAAGGAATAAAAAAGATAAAAAATACGTCAATTAAAATGAATAAACAAAATGGGAAAGGAGTCTAAAATTAATTACAGTATTAAAGATTTAAAAATTTACAAAGTTTAAGAATCAATCAAGAATAACTCTAGAAATATTAAAACAGTGTTCTTAAAACTTGGTACCAGCAATGTACATCACAAAAGAAACAGAATGGCACCTACTATGTTGTTGCCAAGGCAACACTCTTGGCTCAAGTCTCTTTCTGTGAAAAACCAAATATCCCCATTTGCAACCTTTTAAAGTGGGACAGAAGGTCTTCCTCGGAACACACATGGTTCCCATATTGTCTTAACTCTCCCCATTAGATTGGTGGGAGTGGATGATCCTAGTTTAAGATAAAATCTGGGAATTTTAGTCTTAATTGAAACAGAACTGGCAGCATAACTGTTGTCATGGCAATGGCATGATGGGTGTCATTATGTTTCTTTTGTGATGTACATTTCTGGTGCCAAGTTTAAAGAACACTGCTTCAATATTTCTAGAGTTATTAAGTGCATCCCTACAACACTTAAATCCCAGTTTCTCCAGAATAAATATAAGGAAATTTTGCCCCACTGTTATTGGATGTTACTATTTGAATGACCTTCCTGTATCTATATGTAACTTAGTGACTAGAAAACGTATTAAAAAAGCACTCTTCTAGTATTATTTTGCTCAGTATTAATTAATTCATACCTCTTCCTCTCCCATGTTAAGTTAACTTTTTTACCCTAATTATTTTTGTCAATTAAACAAGGGCATCTAATTAGCTTGCTATATTTTTGCCCTTTTCCATTTCTCCTCTTACTAGTCTACTTTATATTTATCTTTGTAATTTTAGAATGGAATAAATAAATAAAATGAAATGAAAATGAAATGAGTTATTCTTGATTGAGTGTTGTGCTGTTTTAGTGGAACCACCTATGACGTCATCACTTTCCATACGAAAACGTAAATATCTCTAAAACGAAAAAAGATATTCCAAAAAGGAAAACGCCATTCTTCTTTACTTTGAAAAGCCTTTCAAATAAGCAGCAATTAATTTTTTACTTCATAGGCACTTTAATGGTCTGTCACTTGTGAGCCAGTCCTGAATAATGTTGATCTTAATGGAGCAAAAGTGATGAGCTTTGCATATCTTACAGAGATAAAAGAAAAAGTTTTGAACTTGCTTGAAAAGAAAGAAGATGCCTTTGAAAGACTTGATGATTTATGGAGGGACAAAATAGATACCACAGGAATAACAACAGTGAGGAAGCTTTTTGAAAGATATGAAACTGTGCACGGACCTCTATCTACAGATGAATTAAAGGATCTTCTCAGAGATCTAGCATATGTGCAGATAACATGCCTTGTATTTCCTCAGACCCCTACTACCAGTAATTCAGGCAAGTTTTGAAATAAACACGTATATATGTACACTGCATAGTATTATTCATTTGGCAATCTTTTGAAATATTTTTTGCAGTGTTTTAAACTAATTGTTTTTAAAAGAATGTTTTTGATGCAAAGTAACCTTCATCTGACAGCCCATCCTGTGAATATTGCTTTGAAGAGGAATCTTCTAATGACTCGTTATAACTGTAACTAAAATTTCAAAGGTATGTGTTTGTGTGCAGTGATGGAGTTAGGTGTACAAAGTGGTGTGGCTACTAAGGAGACTAAGGCAAAAGTTGATTTGACTTTATTCTTTGTAGGCTTGACATTTGGAAAAGGTGTAGCTACATGTAACGCCTTGGACGGGTCAAGCTTTAAGGCTGCCACAACAGGTTTTCAGTCATCTCCCTCAAGGGTCCTGGTGACAGGACTAGACCGATCGAGAGTAAAGTTACCGTCCAAGCCGGTAAGCCATGACTGGTGTCCCGAAAAGACATCTGGAACAATGGAAGAGGCGTTGCAGGTACCTAATCATTGTTGACTGTTAAGTACTTTTGACTATTACTTAAGGGTGGCACAGTCATTTAGAGATTAAATTTTGTATTCATAAAGAACTGAACTGATGTTGAATTATAACAACAAATTCTGGCATGCTTACTTACTGCAGCAACTGTAGATATACATGTAGAACACAGTTAGCCACACATTTTTAAATGTTTTGTAATCAAGCCGAAATTACTTTTAGATAAAAACAAAAAGTTACCAGTCCTCTTTTGTATCTTTATATAAAACATAATTTACAAATTATATGCGAACCTACACGAAAGCTAAAAAGTCAAACGGAATAAGCAAGGAGTCCCAGTGGAGAAATTTTCCACATGGTGGTATCTAAGAACACCAAATGGCAAACTTCTGTCTACATGCTATTTGTATTCAAGGGTACGGAACTAATGTTCATGGGTCTGGGAATCACTTCCCAGGGCCTGGTTCTCGAGTGTGCAAGGTTAACGTCATTTTTTTTATATAGTTTACAGATAAGACTTGAAAGTTGCCAGAGAAAAGGAAATATTGTGTTTTAGATGCTTTTGTGTTATTGTTGAGAAATAAATCTTTTGACGTAAATAACGCCACAAGTTCATAAACAAAATGTGATTTTGTTGGATTATGTAACCAAAAATGTCATGTTTTATACTTGTCTAGTAGGGGGTGGGTCATGTGATTTTCAAACTTCATTTAGGGGTGGGTCACTCAATTTTGTGCCAAATGGAAGGGGTGGGTCTTGTGTTTTCTATCTACCACATTTTCAAATGCTCCGGCCTCTCTCTCCCCCTCCCCTCCCCCCTTATGCGTTTTGACCAGTCCCATTTGTTGAAAACTTATTAGTGTTAATGAACAAAGTAGAAAGGACTACTAGATATGACATTTTGTATTTATTTGGCCAGGGAAATCTTCTTTTTATCAGGGAAAAGGCAGGGAATTTTAAAAAGTGATGCCTGTTGTCTGTCTGTGTCACTATTAAGCTTCTCTACACCAATTTCGCTTTACCTCTTGACAAGAACCTTGCTTATTTTATAATCTGCAGTTTTTGTTCTCAGTTTAACTCTTATGCCTTTCTTCCTGCAGAATACGAGGGAAAAAAATGAACGACTTAAAATCATAGTACGCCAGTTAGAGGAGGCATTAGAGGTACTTTACATGCACGCTTGTATATGGTATTTGTAGGTATCTAATAACCACCGAGTATAAATTTTAGGGTAAAAGTATTATTAGTAAAAATGGAGCTGTAACTAGGATAAGACATAATATTAAGAAGTAAAAACGTTCTCTGGTTGAAAGATTAAAAACATGAGCTCTCGGCCATCAGTCCATAGCCTTTGGTGAATAAGAAATGTTTGTACGCGAATGGAAATATATACGAAAAGAGTACGAAAAAATGTAAAAGCTAAAATACAACAGAAGTGTGAAAAAAGCTCAAAAGAATGTAAATTGCATCTAAATTACAATGAGATGGAATATTGCCTGGGCAACGGTTTTGAGCTGTTATCCCTGCTGACAGTTTTGGCAGTATGCTAGGATTTTAAGGTTTTTCGGACGCGGTGTTGGCTTTGTCGATTACACCAGCATTATTAAAATCAGTTGAGTGATCATCTTGCCACGCATGGCTGGCAGCGTTCGAGCCCTTCGTATAGTTTTTCAGGCTGCTTTGATGTTTCTTTTTTGCGCTTGGAAACATCTTCCAATTTCTCCTACCTGCTCCATGAACAGTCTGAGCACGGGATCCTGTAGACTAGGAAGCTGGAGCGGATCTAGGTGGGGGGTGGGGGGGGGGGGG